GCTGAGCTTCGGGGCAGGCCCCCTTTTTGGTTTCTTTTAGTACATGTTTATAGTACAGAATGATTATATTCAGCACAGGGAGTTGCTATATGTGTATGATATATCTTGATAATTTTTTATCCCCTCCCCTGTATTCCCCCTTTGATCTTTTCTCCTATCTATTTTTGGTACACGTTTGCAGGATGTAATGATCATGTTCCTTACAGGGACTTGGCACATGTGCACAACATATCACAATTCCCTTATTTTTAGTCTCATTTTCCTCCCCTTTTGGTACTCTTTCCATATGCTAGACATCTATCTCACTATTTCCTATGATCTGTCTTATTTTGCTCTTTATTTATAGTTTGGGCTTCTCATATAAGAGAAACCATGTGATATATGTTTACCATTGATTTACTTCACTTAACAGTTTCAAGGTGCATTTGTTTTCCTACAAAAGACTCAAATTCATCCTTCTTCATGACAGAGTAGTACTCCATTGAGCATAAATGCCATGTTCTTTAGATATTCATCTGTTCACTGCTGGGTGTGCTGCCAGATGCCTATAATCCCAGCACCCCAGAGGCTGAGGCAAGAGGATTTCTGTGAGTTAAGGACCAGCCTGGGCTACATAGTAACTTCAGGGCCAGGCTAGACTGCATAGCAAGACCCAATCTCAAACAACCTCACACACACACACCAAAAAAAGTTGTGCATCTGTTGATAGACATAATCCTCCTGTCTTAGTCTCCCAGAGGGCTAAAGTTGTAGCATCTGCCACAGTGCTTGACTTGGTAAGAGCTTTATAAAACTGGGCTAAACAGGCCCAGGCATTAGACTAAAGAGAGAGCCTTGTCAAAAAGCACAGGCAAATTGGGCATGGGGGTACACTCCGGTAATCCCAGAACAATAAGGACAATAACTCAGTCAGTAAGGGCTCTACCTCTGTGCATTCTACCCACCGTGGATCAAAACCCTTCTTGAAAAAGTTGTGTATATTAAATACTTACAGATTTTTCCACTTGTCCATCCCTAAATAGTATGTAGCGTGACACCTGTTTCCATAGCACTCACATTGCACTGGGGAGTGGAAGTCATCTAGAGATAACCTAAAGCATGTGGCAGGATTGCTTGGAAATTCGTGCAATGCTGCAGTATTCTACGGGGGCACTCGAGCATTTGTGGATTTCTGGGCCCATGCATTTGGTGCTGAAAGTAACCTCTGGCAGGCACGGAAGGATGGCTGTGTGGGGTTCAGTACTAGCCAAGTGGTGGTCTTGGAATGTATCCTTTGTGGATAAGTGAGGACCACTACAGTAGAAACTGAATTTTAAAAGTTATCGTATTGGTCAGGCATGGTCACACCCTCCTGTAATCCTAGGATCTGGGAGGCTGGGGTGGGAGGAAAGCTGAGTTCAAGGCCAACCTGAGCTACCTAGTGATTTCCAAGCCAGCCTGAACTGCATAGTTCCTGTCTCAGAAAAAAGAAAGTCACTTTATTGTAAACCCAGGTATTGCTTTGCACTGCATCTTACGATGGACCTGTCAGATGTTTATGCAGCTTCAGAGACAAAGACAGAAGCAGCAATGGAGATGACTAGAAAGTTGTGGTGTTGCTAAAAAGTAGCACAAGGGGGAAACAGGGTAAATAACTTTAAAATGGGAATTCCCCTCATCAAAGGGAAAAGAGACCTATTTGCTTTTATTTTTCTTAGAGAATCTCCATAAGAAAACATTGTGTAAATCCTTGCTTTGCTATGAAGTCCTCTCACTAGGCCATAACCCAGGAATGTCTTTTCTGGTTTTGTGGATTTGCAGGGCTGGGATGGCACACTGGGTCTCATGCGTTTGCTCTACCACCGAACCCACAGGATAATTCCTAAGAGTCTTGGGGCATTGCTTTGAAATGGAACCCTCAAGGAGGACGGTGCCCTCACCTTCCTGTCATCAGCCTTAGCCTAGGAGCCTTGCTCCAAACTGTTAGCAACTGTTTGGCATAGAGGTAAGAGTTTTATTTTTCCTTTAGATAAAGGCAATTAAGTAACACATACTTACACCAATGTCCAGCTCACTTAGGACCCCAGGGAGGGCATAATCAGGTTTTACCTGCTGTGCTGCTTTGTAGCCAAGCCAGTGAGTTGCATACCAGCACTTTCTGGTTCTCCCATCACTTTGGGATCGTAGGAGTCTTTGTGCATCAGTGTAGGATCTGGCTTCCTGAATAGCTGTCCAAGGGACAGATGATACAATTCAGAAGCATAGTTTATGCCTATAGAGGAGACTTTGACTGATCAGAAAAATAGGCCATAAACTAGACCAAAAATACAATCTTGATATCCCTTTCCTAAATGTTGAAAATTGCTATTTTGCCACTGAGCTATACCCCAGCACACAATTGGGGGTTTTAATGTCCCCCAGCATGAAATAGTTTGCACCAAAGTAGGCTGTACCTGCCCTTCCCCAGAGCTGTCTCCTCTGTATGTCCTGCCTTGGCCTAGCAGGGAGAGGAGTGCGCCTTTCTTAATTCCTCACCACATGCCCCAGCCCTGGGTTGGGAAATCCCTCACGGACAGTCTCATGCTTTTGTCCAGGGACCTTTCCATCTGTCACCGTCCTGCTTTGCAATCAAGGTTTCTGATTCTTTGTGACTAGCACCTGGCCACAGTGGACACTCTTAATTCATGTTCCCCAGTTGATGGTTTCACCTGCCTCCTCTTACACACTCCCAAAGGGTCTTTCCCAGCCCCTGAACCTTAAGGTCATTCAGAAAGCAAAGGGCAAAGCACCCAACCACCTCTTGCACAATCCTACCCCGGGACCAGCATATATACAGTTCATCCACATCAAAGCTGGAAATATCCTCCAGGGGAACGCCAAGCCTACGCAGGGATAGTGCTCTGCCTTGGTCTCGGATTCTCTCAAGCACCTAGGACAGTGATAGACTCAGCACCTGCTTATTAGGTGTTGAATGAATGACTCTTGATGCAGCAAATGTGCGTTCAATAATCTATCCAAAAAAAAAAAATCCACTGACATACATGCATAGTGCTGTGTGCACAAGAATAAAAGGATCTATCTGGCATGGAGGCACACACCTGTAATCCCAGCGCTTGGGAGGCTGAGGCAGAAGGATACTGAGTTCCAGACCAGCTTGGGCTACAGAGTGAGTTCAAGGCTAGCCTGAACTACATAGCAAGACCCTGTTTCATCCCTTCCCCCACCAGAAAAAGAGACTCCAACAACTGAGAAATGCTATAAATGTTTATTAACCATCAGTAACTACTACAAGATAAATGAAAGGTAGGACTACTCAATGGGCCTAAGTTCAGTGAGCAAAGCAGATGATAGGTGCTCATCATGGGGGTGTATAAGTGCAAACAAAAATCTGGATTTAAACACCTACAAGTGGCCTCCATAGTTACATCTGTGGCAAGGTACAGTAGTGCAGAGCAGATCAGACAATACTTGCTCTTAAAAAAAAAAAAAACAACTTGCTCTTGAGGTAGGTGCATAGGTACACACAAATATGCCTAAAGTATATGTATCACTGGATAACATGCTAATCGAAAAAATAAAACAAGGTAAACGCTGGAGCTGGTGAGATAGCTCAGCAGTCTAAAGCACCTTCCTAGGCAAGCTTAGGCAGGTACAGGGGACCTTGGTTCGATCCCCGGTACTACATGCTGCGCCAGCCCTACCTAAGGGCAGGCTGAGCTGGCCAAAAAAAAAGCTAATGTCTAATAGAGTGGTTATCACAAGTAAGAACAGTGCTAACAATGCTTATCAAACAGAACAGTGCTAACAGAATGCTTGACATATAGTAAGACTAATTAGTAATTAACTTTTTAGCTGGTGTTAACTCTTTTTTTTCACTTGACAAATGGATGGTAGCCAGGAGTTTACGGCCATGTCCGTGATTGCTGATTGCAAAAGGCCACCAGGTTTTCTCCTCATCACGGACTTCCCCCAGGCTGAGTTAAGGAAAGAGAAGGAAACAAAGAGACAGTGAGTTTCTACTGCTCGGATGCTGGGCTGTCAAGCCCTCCTCCTGCCCTGCAGAGCCAGAAGCTCCTATTCTGTGTGAGCCCAGGACCTCCGCTGTGAGCAAGCTCTCTGCTTGAGTGCAGTGACTCCCTCCCCAACTTCGCCTGTACCCCAGGAGTGGCCTGAGCTTGGAGAGCCCACAGCTCAGGGTAGGAGTAGCAAACGTGTGGGAAATCTCCTTGAGCCTCCATGTTGCACCCCTTGGAACCAGGAAAAGCAGATGATTTGGAAGCATAGAGACAGGGTGGGATGACAGGAGCACAATGGGATGGCCTATTTACAGTGGTGAGGGAGCTGTGTCAAAGGGTACTTACAGACTCAGTCGAAGTAGTCTTCTTCCTCTGGCTCGCTGATCTCTTCATACACCACGACATTCTTCTGTTTACGCAGCCGGTCGCTCCAGATGTTCATCTTTTTCTTCCTGAAATCTGCAGTGGAGGACAGAGAGGGGCTGGTAAGCAAGAGTTGAGGGGCATGGGAAGTGTTAGGCCCTGTTTTGTCAGTAAAGGAGATGGTCTTGCAGATCCTAGTGCCTACAGGCCTGCCGGGTGCTCTGCTTTGCACTTCTGGCTTCTAGAGGCTGAGATTTTAGGCCTATATCAGTTGAGACTAAATGCCAGTTCAAGTTTGAGGCTCTGGCCCTTCCCATTGTTAGGCTTAGATTCCTAAGCTCTTCTCTTGCCAGAACACCCTTCTTCCCTTGTGTGATTCAGCACATGTTTGTGAAGGGCATATGCCTGTCTAGGTGCTGATCTGAGTGAGCTATGCTCCCAGGTTATCCTGTAGGATCACTAGCTGAACAATTTTCTTTCTTTTTTTAAAAAGTTTATTTATTTATTTATTGTGTGTGTGTGTGTGTGTGTGTGTGTGTGTGTGTGTGTGTGTATGTGGCCAGCTCAGCCCACCAGGGGGTGGAGCTGGCTGGCATGTGGTGCTGGGGGATTGAACCGCGGTCCCTGTGCTCTGCTAAGCTTGTTCTAAGTAGGTGCTTTAGACCACTGAGCCATCTCACCAGCCCCTGAACAATTTTCTTGTTGAGGTCTCTAGATTAAAAAGATAATGTTTTTAAACAATCTTAGGAACTATTGAGTTTTTAATTCCATTTTATGAGCTAAGAATCTGGAACGTAGAGAATGTATTTTACTTACACTGAGCATTGAACTCTGGCCCTTTTAATTTTATTTTTTGTCTTTTTGAGACAGGGTCTCACTATGCAGCTCAGGCTGGCCTTCAGCTCACTTTGTAGCCCAAGCTGGTCTGGAATTTGCAACACTCCTCCTGCCTCAGCCTCCCCAAGTGCTGGGATTATAGGCGTGCACCACCATGTCCAGCTACTCTGGCCCTTTTAAATCATTTTCTTTTCTTTTTTAAATTTTGAACAGGGCCTCACAAAGTCAGTATGTTGCCCAGCCTGGGCTTGAGTTTATATCCTCCTGCCTCAACATCTGAGAGTGCTGGGATTACAGGCATACACTATCATACCTAGCTTGGAGTGCAGAAAATTCAGAAGTCATGTCCAAGGTCCCATGGCTTTTAGATGCATGACAACTCAAGCCTATGATTCTGAAGTCATGCTCTAATGTCTCAGCTGGTGCTGGCTGCTCTCCTCAACTCAGTTTGGGTCATGGGTCAATGCCACATTTCCAGATTATACCCTGACACAGAGCTGCGGAAGCCTGAGGGGTTGCTCCCGAGCTGTCACCTCTTACCAGGTACCGAAGACTTCTCTGTGGAGGTGCTTGCTTCTCCCAGGAGGCACTCTGCTCTCGCAGCCGGTTCTTCACCAGGTGCTTCTGCCACACTCTCCGGATCTCTGTTTTTCTGTGTTGGCTTCTTAGGCGTCTTTTAATGTGAAGGCCACATATAAGCAGTATCAATGATATTTCTCTAGTACTTTAGAACTCTTTGCATGCTTTACCATCTTCTTTAAGATAAGGTCTTGCTATGTAGCACAAGCTGGCCTCAGACTCATGGCCTTAGCTTCCTGTCTCAGTCTCTCAAGTGCTAGGATTAGAGGTGTTCCCCACCACCCCAGGCTTGCATACTTTATCCTAATTAATGTTTTCTTCCCCTCTGGGAGATCATAGTATTTTCTGTATCCAAATTTTGAGAAACCTGGGAGGTTTGAAAAGAAGGGAATGGCCTAAGTGCAAGGCATTTCCAGGACTAGGATCTGACTCCCAGTTGTATCTGGGCTGAGAGAAAATGGTACCATTCAGAAATTTGGGAAACAAAAGCGCCCTGGGAATCCACAAGCCCCATGAAAGGTAGGGCTTCTATGAGGTATGGGAGATCCCATGTAAACTTGTGGATAGCTGGTGGGAGAGTAAATGTAAACATGAAGAGAAGGGGCTGGGGCGGAACCCAGTGGCTGAGCATGTGCCTAGCGTGCATGCGGCCGTAGGGTCCAGCCCTAACACTGCAAATGATGTCGTCAGGATTATTTAGAGATAATAACAGAAACAGTGTCATAGTGATTTCCTCAAGGATCAAATACATTAGTGTATGGCCGTTGCCTAAAATGATATCTGACATTGCTATGAAGATAAGAGTGCTATTAGCATTTGGGATTGCTGCTGAGCAGGCTGGAGCCATGGTGGTGTCATCAGGCACTGTGATGATGTGAGAGTTGGGGCTGAGAGTGGGGCTCAGCAGGACACTGAGGGCTTGACACATGTGAGGCCCTGGGTTCAAACCCTGCCCCCAAAGAAGGAAAGAACAAAAGGATAAGGGGAAAGGAAAGAAAGATGAAGGACATAGCCAGGATGGGGACATTTTGCTACTCTCCTACTCTTTGCAATATTGACACTTAAGGTGGGAAAAGCCCTTTGGTAGGTTAGGGTTGGGAGACACTCACCATCAGACCTTTCCGAGACTTCTCAGGCAATTCATCTAAAAGAGGGAGATAAGTCAGTACTTCTCCTCCTTGGTAAATATTCCAAATTGCAGACCTCTGTTGTATTAGAGGATGCTGCGGAGCAGAGTGACCAGAGTACCCACGGTACAGCAGTGGCTTTGGAATTACCTCTAATAAGGGCTTTCGCATTTGTTTGCAGTGTTCAAACATTTCTTTCTGATAATTTACAAAATCTGGACTAAAAGCTAGGTATGGTGGCACACACCTGTAATCCCAGCATCCTGGGAGGATTGAAAGATCAAGCCCACCCTAGACAACTGAGTGACTCAAAAGAAAAAAAAAGGAAGAAACATAAGAAAATCTAGGGCCAGTTATGTACCTTGCTACAAAGGTTGGCCCTGGGTTTAATTTCCAGAATTTCAAAAAACAAAACAACAAATAAAAACCCAGAGCCCCCCCCCAAAAAAAAAATTTGGAGTGATGAAGGCTCTGGATTTTCAGACCTCTTACTGTGACTGTGACTGTGAAGCTTGCGGGGTCTAGCCTGTTCACTGGTGTAACTACTGATCTGCCAGAGAGTCTGGACATTCTAACTCCATCTTCTTTTTTATAATTTTATAATTTTCTTTTTTTTTAAATTTTTTTATTTATTTGTGTGTGTGTGTGTGTGTGTGTGTGTGTGTGTGTCCAGCTCAGCCCACCAGGGGGCGGGGCTGGCTGGCATGTGGCGCAGGGGGATTGAACCGCGGTCCCTGTGCTTTACTAAGCTTGTTCTAAGTAGGTGCTTTAGACCACTGAGCCATCTCACCAGCCCCCAGTGACTCCATCTTCTTAACAGCTATGCAGTCAGCAGTAGTGAGCCTCTTCCCTTTCTGACGATTACACACTATACTTGTTACTCCGGTCCAGAGGGACCTCTACTCTAGAATCTGTCCCCCTTTTTTGAGACATGGTCTTGCTGTGTAGTCCAGACTGACCCTGAATCATGGCAATCCTTCTGCCTGAGCTTCCCGAGTGCTACAATTACAGGTGTGTGCCACTATGTCCAGCTAGAATCCATCCCATTTTTCATCTTATGATGTCTTTATTCACTGAAAGTGGAAAAGTTTGTGTGTGTGTGTGTGTGTGTGTGTGTGCGCGTGTGCGCGCGCGCATGCCTGGGTAGCAGCACTCAAACTCTGAGTAAAGTTTAATAAGAACCAAATATTCTTTAAAAAAGAAATATTTCAACATGCAGAAAATGATGGGGAATACTGTCAAGGCCAGTGGGAATCTCAGCATTACCCCACAAGTGCTTCTGATTGCTCTATTTCTTTATTCAGTATATTAAGAATAAACTACAAACAAGCTCCAGTGCAGCCCTCACCAATTCCTGCCATCGCTCTCCACTTGTAGCTCTTTTGCTGAATTTGATAGCATTTCTTGTCACGTGGGCTTTTTTGTTGTTGTTTTGAGACAGTTCTTACTACGCAGGCCAGGCTGACCTCTAACTCATGATCCTCCTGCCTCAGCCTGCCAAGCGCTAGAAGTACAGGCGTGCACCACCATGTCTGGCTTCACTCAGGTTCTTTACCATGCATAAAATCTGTATTATTGCTTTGTGCGCTTTACAGTTTTATACGGCCCTCTGGGTCCGCTCTTCCCCCAGGCCTGATGGATGTGAAGGAGCAGCTGGACCACCAAGAAGCCTCCCTCTGCCCACTTACCCTTGACCTCATGGCTGCAAGCTCTGTCTGAATCGTCATCGTTTAGCACCTCCTCCTTATGGACGCGCATGAAAGTTGGTGGAGTGACTGTGAGACCTAGAAACAAGAAAGATGTCTGTTCCTGGGAGGAGAAGTGAAGGGGTGGCTGCTGGGGGGCTGAAAAGTCCAAAAGAGCCACAGCCCGAGAGAGAACCATGCAGGACCCACATCTAAACTCCCGGGGACTAGTCCCTGTCCTCAGGATCGCATGAGACATAAAGGAATGACACCCGAAAGCACTTCGGCATTTATCCCATACCTAAAGAAGCGAGGGGTACTCACTCCAGGCTGAGAAGCCTTAATGTGGGAGGGGCCCAAGTGGTGCCCTTGCACCACAGGATTGCCTGTACCTATGACCCCGTTACCTAGAGCAGACATGGTGGTGTAGTTTCTTTTCAAATACACACAAGTGATCTTCTCTGAATAGCTCAGCTTTTTCCACTGATTGTGTGAGAAGTATTTGGAAATCTCCATGAAGACCTAGAAAAGAAGGAAAAGTACATTCTGGCAGCCACTCAGCTAGAAGTGGGTACCATCCAGCCCAGGCCACCTCGGCTGCTGCAGGACCTCTGTGGTGGATCTGGGAAGTAGAGATGACCCCTGGGTGTTGCCATGACTGAGACAACAGGGCGCACAATGACCGGCTCTCTCTGGGCACCCAGCCGGTGGCTTACTGCTGTCGCTTGCTTGCCTCCTGTCTTCCACAGTAGACTGCCTCATGGTCTCTGCCCCCATCCACCAAGTGTGGCCCAAGGTCACAGACCTGTGTTCTCTCTGGATGCTGGGGGAGGACAGAGTGAGGGTGGGAAGCTCCAGGGGCTCCTGGATTGCCTGGTATTCTCAGCACCTCTGTTCTTACATCCAGAGAAGTTGAGTTGTCCTATGCTGTTGCCTGGCTACTTCTCTGTTCCTTCAGCCCATCTCACCTTATGCCTCTGTTTGGATTTCGAAGCACCTTTCTTGGGGGTGTTTCTCTCCATGACCCTGGTGACGGTTTGACCTGGAAGGGACATGCCTGATTAGCTGCAATCACAAGATGCAAGGTGTTGTGGAAGGAGAAAGCACAGAGAGATGGCTGCATGAGGCCAGTCACCTGGCATGAGGTTCTACTATTCTCATCTTGGGCTTATTTGAGCCTGAATAATGACATGGATCAAATCAAGTGAGAACAAGGGGCTAGGGTCTCTGGGAAAAGCAGTGGTTAGGAATGGCAGATTTTCTGTGGGGACGAGCAAAGCAGCCTTGAGTGTCTGAGAGAGGGTGACTAGTGTTGTTAATAGCTCACTGGAGCTTGTCTAAAGCTAATAACAAAAAAAGCTAGGTATGGGGGCAGTTGTAATTCCAGCACTATGGGAGGCTGAGGCAGGAGGATCCCCAATTAAAGTTACTTAGATCGTGTTGCAAAAAAACCCAACCAAATAAAGGACTGCAGCATGGTGGTGCACACCTGTAATCCCAGCACTTTGAAGGCTGGGGCAGGAGGATCAACATGATTCCGAGGCTAGCTTGGGCTACATAAGTTAGTTCAAAGCCAGCCTGAATTATACAGTGAGACCTTGTCTCAAGAAACAGAAATGAGGGGAGATGGCTCAGTGGAATAAGCGCTTCCCTGGCAAGCGCAAGGGCCTGAGTTCAATCCCCGGTTCCACCAAAAAAAAAAAAAAAAAACAGAAATGAGCCAGTGATGTGGGTCAGTGGTAAGGCCATTAATTCAGTCTCCACATTGGACCAAATAAACAACAAAATAAAAAAATCCAACCAAAACAAACAAACAAACATGAATAATCTGGGTATGATAGCCACACCTGTAATCCCAGCACTATGGAGACTGAGGCAGGAAGATTGTGTATTATAGTCCTTTATGGGCCACACAAACAAAACATCCTAAAACAACCCAAAATAAATCAAAACCCCCCAAAATGAAGAAGGAATATAAAGACAGTTATCCAATAACCAAGGCACAGAGGGTCAAACATCCCTGGTCATTACTCATCTGTGAAAGGTTAAAATGTTGAGGCCAGACTAGCCAATTGAGTGACTTACTGAGATTCTTTCTGACAAGTTAAAGAAAAAAGAAAGATGCTGGGTTTTTAGCTCAGAGAAAAAGTCCTGGGTTCAATCTCCAGTCACACACACAGAGAGGAAAAAAGAAGGGCTAGGGATACAGCTCAGTGAGAAGGTCCTGGGCTCAACCGCAAACATGATACACGAACAGGTGCACACACACACATACACACACACACACACACACACACAGAGATATGAAAAAGAAGTGTAAAAAGGGCTGTGGAAATTAGCTCAGTGACAAAGTCCTGGGTTTAATCTCCAGTATAAAAAAATTATAAAAAAATCTAAAAAAGGAGTATGGATATAGCACATACATAGCATAGTAAAACAAGGAAAAGAAAAAAGGACTAAGGCCATAGCTCAGTATGAAGAACCTGGGTACAATTTCTAACAATACGTGTGTGTGTGTGGACACACATGCACACAAATACACAGGGTAATAAGAGTAAAAAGCGGGCCAGGGCTGGGAACATAGCTTGGTGTGAAGGCCATAAGTTTAATTTCCAGTAACACATACACAATTATAAAAATGAGGAACAAAAAACCAGAAAGGATTGGGATTTTATCTCAGTGCAGATGCCCTGGCTTCAATCTCTAGTACAACAAACAAAATGACAAAGCAAAGAAAAGATGAAGGAAAAAAAGGGTCTACAGACATTTCTCAGTGGTAAAGTCCTGGGTAGTAGAAAAGACCTCCAGTAACATAGAAAAAATAAGAAAAGAATGAATGTAAAGGCAAAGAAAGCAAAGAAAAAAGGAAAACAAAGAGTTGGGGAAGTAGTTCAGTGAGAAGGCTACTGGTTCAGTCCTTACTACTACATACACAAAAAAGAAATATCAAATAATTAAAAAGTGCCAGTTGGGGTGGTGTACACCTGTAATCCCAGCACTCAGAGGGCTGAGGCAGGAGGATCACCTGGACTTAAGACCAGCCTGGGGGGTGGGGAGATAGCTCAGTAGAATTAGTGCTTGCCTGGCAAGCGTGAGGGTCTGAGTTAAATCCTCAGTTCTGGGAAAAAAAAAAGACCAGCCTGGACTACATAGTGAGTGCAAGGCCAGTCTGGACTACACCACGAGAGCCTGTCTTAAAAACAAACAAACCCAGATAAAAACACCAAAAAAGAATAAAAGTCCTAGGGGATATATAACTCAGTGAGAAAGTCCTGGGTTCAGTACACAGTGCACACATACACACACAGGAATAAAGATAAAAAATAAAATGGAAATCATGAGCAGGGATATAGGTCACAGTGAAGTCTCTGGGAAAAATAGCTAATACCCCCTCAAAAAAAGACAAAAAACAAAGTGAAAGAACAAGGAAAGCAAATTTTGCAAACAAAACTATGGAAGTAGTTCAGGGAAAAGGCCCTTGGTTCAGTCTTCATCACTACACACACACACACACACACACACACAGAGAGAGAGAGAGAGAGAGAGAGAGAGAGAGAGAGAGAGAGAGAGAGACAAAAAACAAGAAAAGACTGGGGATTTAGATCAGTGTGAAGGTCTTGGGCTTAATGTACATGCATATGCGAGCACACACATACACATGCACAAACACCCAGCAATGAAAAAAAAAAGAGAGTAAGGGTCCATAGATGCAATTCAGTGAGATTTTCAATCCCCAATACCATAGGTGTGTGCACACACGCAGAGAATAATAAAAGAAAGAAAGGGAGAAGGCCGAGACTATAGCTAAGCTAAGAAATTTTGATTTCAATTGTCTACCACACACACACGGCTGGGAATGCTGCTCAGTGAGAAAGGTTGCTGGGTCTAGCCCTCAGGCAAAAGCTCATTTCATCCTGTACCAGGGCAGAGGAGCTGGCTGTAGAAGCTGGGAATGGGGCAGAGAGAGGAAGACAGGCTGGTAAACAGGTGCCAAAGACAGTGGAGGAGGTGATTTAGGTGTCTAGAGCACGCCAGGGCTGTTACAGTGTCCAACACTTCTTATATATTCATAATGAATCAGAAGAGAGAAGGTTGAAGGTTACAAAGAGAGGATAAATGGTTAAATGTAGGAAAAATGCTAATGTCTTAATTTGACCTGCTCTGCATTTTATGTGTGCCCTGGATTTTCATACTGAGTCAGGCATGGTGGCACATGCCTGTAATCCTAGCACTCAAGATAGGGTCGCTGTAAGTTTGACTCCAGCCTCAGCTACATATCAAGATTCCATCTAAAAAAATGTTCACACTGTACCCCACAAAAATGTACCATTATTATATCAAGGAAAAAATTAAAAACAAGTCAGGCAAAATTCTTGGAGAAGCAGTAAAATGAGTGTTTTGTTTTTGAAGTTAGAATATATTTTTCTAAAGCTTAAAACTTCAGAGTGAACTTTTATAATAGGAAACAAAAAGCTGGGCATGGTGGCAAACACCTGAATCGCAGCAGTGAGAGCCTGAGGCAGGAGGACTGCAAATTTAATGCTTGGACTCACAGTGATCCTCCTGTTTCAGCCTCCCCAGCACTGCAATTACAGGTGTGCACGCCACCATGCCCAGTGGCCCGCATGGCATGTAGTACTGGGGATCGAACCTGGGTCCTTGTGCTTGACAGGCAGGTGCTTGGACTGCTGAGCTAGCGACTCAGCCAGGATCTCAAATTTAAACTCAGTATGTGCAGTCTACTGCTTTGTGAGACTAACGGGGGGGGGGGGGGACTGGGATGTCGCTCACTGACAAGGCTCTGGGTTCAACCCTCAACACCACCAAAGAAATTTTTCATTTCACCAGGCACGGTGGCACAGACTTGCAAATCCCAGCTAGTTGAAAGGCTGTGAGAGTACTGCAAGTTCATGGCCAGCCTGGGCAAGACAGGAAGGCCCTGTCTCAAAGTGAACTAAAAATGGGCTGGGAATGTAGCTTAGTGCTGAGCTTGCCTACTCTGTGGGAAGGCCTGAGCTCTCTGGCTGCAGAGGTGGAGGCTTTGACTTGGTTGTGGTAATAAAGTAGCTTTGCACTGTTCCCCCCTCCCGCCGTCACCCCCCCTTTTCCGGTTGTTCACTTTTTTTCCTCTGCGCTAGAGACGAAGACCCACGCCGGCAGCCATTTTTTTTTTCCCCGCGAGGTACCGGAGATTGAACTTGGGATCTTGTGCTTGCACAAGCAGGTGCTTATACCACTGAGGTGTATCCCCGGCCCGTGTGCCAGCCATTGTTGTATTTCTGAATTTCTATACAGGGTCTTGCTAAATTTTCCATGCTACTTTGCAAGTTTTGATTCTCCTGCCTCAACCTCCCGAGCTGCGGCAATCCCTGAGGAATTTTAGGATCATCTGGCTGATTTGGGGGTTTTTAGGCTAAAAGGAATTTTGCATTCATCAGGAATGGCAGTTAAGTCCGACATAATTGTAGTTTTGTCTCTGCTCCAAGCGGACAGTCCAGAAAGGCTTTGGTTAATTTAAGTGGTACCGCTTTTGAGGAACTCGGAGGTTGCGACAAAGTCAAAAGGACTTGTACCAGCAATAGAGGCTCCCAGCTTTCCTAGTTGTTTCCCTTTTCCTGGGTGTCCCAGTCATGGCACTTACCACAGACAAGATGGCTTGGCAAGGCAGTGGCAAGCTGGCGTACAATCGAAAGAAGCGGCCGTACCTCTTAAAATAGTCTGATAATCCAATCAGGGTGGATACTGAACCTGAAATAGCCAATAAGAGATTGGAAAGTGGGTGGAGCAAATGAGGCAAGAAAGTGGCCCATTGGCTAGGCTCCACTAGAGCGGGATATGAGGGCATGATCATTTTTTAAAATAACTCTTAAATTTGAAACGCAAAAAAAAAAAAAAATTGAAACACAACTTCTCTTTTGGCATTGGCTGCTCCAGGATCAGCTGACTTGTGAAAAAATGCTTGTCTACAGGCATGCTCAGATTTTCCCTTTACCAGTTCCACCTCTGTCTTCCTACCATCCCTTGTATGCTTACTAATTTTAATAAATGAGCCAGCCATGTTAGGTGGCGTGCGCCTCTCATCCCAGCACTCAGGAGTTTGAGGCAGGTGGATAGTTGAGTTGGAAACCAGCCTGGGCTACAAAGTGAGCTCATGGCAAGCCTCAACTGCATACGAAGTCCTTGTCTCAAAAAGAAAAAAAATTTTTTTATGAGCAGAATATATTTATTGAGAGAAAGAAAGCTCCTGTCCAAGAGAGGGACAGGAGGGGTGGGGCGAGTGGGTAGTTCTCCCTAGGAAAAAAATTAATAAATGATAAAAGGAAGGGCCAGCGAGATAGCTCAGTGGACTAAGTAGCAGCTTTGGCAAATGCAGGGACAGGTTTGATCCCCGGTCCCACTTGCCGCGCCAGCCCCACCTCCGGCATGCACTGAGCTGGCCACTGAGTCCGGGCGTGGTGGCGTACGCCTGTAATTCCAGCGCTGGTGGGGGGCAGGGAGATGGCTCAGAATAAGCGCTTCCCTAGCAAGCGCAAGGGTCTGAGCTCAATCCCTGGTTCAAAAATAAAATAAAATAAAATAAAA